TCGATTATCTTCGGATATTCTCCAAGGATTCTGATTCTGAGAAAGTTTATGAGAAATTCTCAAAACCTAAAATCATAATCTTCAAATTATCAACAGAATATATGTAAAATTCAAGTCTTCCTTATTAGCAATGCCAAGGTCTGAGGTGTCTATCTATCTATATATATATATATATGTGTATATGCACTTCTTTTGTTTGATCGTCGTATTTCTTCCCGATTCTATCATCATGAAAGTCGTCTCTTCAAATATTCCTATAAGAATATGTCTACAAAAGCTGAATAGCAAATGAAGATTCCTCTGACCGAAGCCTGAAGCAATATAGAATTTCGATCTTGTAACCTGGCATTTTACGTAATCATGCGCAAGCAATAAATCTCAATAAACTCCCCAATGTTGTCCAATTATTTCCCAGAGCCTCCCACCAACTTATGCACTTCGTTCAAAAAGCGACGCCAAAACTCCGGTTCAATGAATATTATAAAATTCGGATAGCTAAATCACTATGCGTCATGAAAAATATGAAAAATAAGTATGAAAGAAAGAGGGAAAACAAAATACAAGATAGTTTCCTAAAAGGAGTTTAGGAAACTAAACCCTAAAAGGCGGAGCTGGCTAAGGGTGGGAGCCGCCCTTTACGGGCGCGGGTGGGAAAAGAAAAACTGACGTGGCCGATACAAGGCCCCAGTCTCCAAAGGCCTCCAGCACACTCCGAAGCCGAATCGTGAACTCCCCTCGCACTTGTGCACCCAAGCGGCTGAACATCGAAGCTTATTTCCTGCACAAACCCTAAACCCTAAACCCTAAACCCTAAACCCTAAACCCTAAACCCTAAACCCTAAACCCTAAACCCTAAACCCTAAACCCTAAACCCTAAACCCTAAACCCTAACTCCTAAACCCTAAACCCTAAACCCTAAACCCTAAACCCTAAACCCTAAACCCTAAACCCTAAACCCTAAACCCTAAACCCTAAACCCTAAACCCTAAACCCTAAACCCTAAACCCTAAACCCTAAACCTAACCCTAAACCCTAAACCCTAAACCCTAAACCCTAAACCCTAAACCCTAAACCCTAAACCCTAAACCCTAAACCCTAAACCCTAAACCCTAAACCCTAAACCCTAAACCCTAAACCCTAAACCCTAAACCCTAAACCCGCCCACCACCCCTCTCACTCTAGAGGTGAGTGGGCGCCGTCGAGCGCTCAGCGAGACCACGCAGGCCCGATCTAGGCTGATCGGGCCTGCAGGCACACCCCTGAAGGGGTCGCCAAGCTTGGTCGCCAAGCACAGTCCCTAGTATATTCTATTACCCTAAAACCGAGCCTTTGCTTGCGGGAGGTGTTTTGCTAGCCTGGCCTGGGGCCCCCCTGGAGGCCTCCGGGGCCCCTCTGGGGGCGGTGCCGACTGCGGCCTTGTTCGCTGGACCAGAGGCCCTTTTTCGGGCTCAGCCTGGGCCACTGCTCAAAAATTGCGTTTTGTCTCTCGGGAGGCCCCTGGGAGGCCCCTGGGAGGCCCCTGCCCCTGGGAGGCCCCTGGGAGGCTGGGAGCCCCTGAAAGGCCCCTGGGAGGCCCCTGTGGGAGGCCCCTGGGAGGCCCCTGTGGGAGGCGCCTGGGAGGCTCCTGAGCAGCCCCTGGGCCCTGGAGGCCCCTAGGAGGGTTCTGGGAGGCCCCTGCCGCTGGGAGGCCCCTTGAGAGGCCCCTGGAGGCGCCTGAAATGCTCTAAGAGGCCCCTAGGAGGCTCTAAGCCTGAGCAAACTTCTAAACAGAATAGAAACAATGAGAAGGCCCTCCGGCCGAAGACGTCCCCCAGCGCAAAACCTGAATTTTCTCGAGGCAGGTGTTTCTTTCTGGATTGGGCCTTTCCTGGAGGCCTCCTTGGACCCTCTGGAGGGCCTCCCGACAGCGGCCGGCCCCTGAAAGGCTTTTAGGAGGCCCTGGAAGGGTTTTGGGAGGTTGAAAGCCCTCAAGGCTCTCCGAAGTTTTGGAGCCAGGTTCTGGGAGGCCCCTGCGCAAAACCTGAATTTTTCTTCTAGACGCACCCCGGCATAGAGAATAGAAACAATGAGAAGGCCCTCCGGCCGAAGACGTCCCCCAGCGCAAGACCTGAATTTTTCTATCGCAAACTTCTAGACACACACACCGGCATAGGATTAGAAACGATGAGAAGGCCCTCCGGCCGAAGACGTCCCCCTGCGCAAAACCTGATTTTCTCCTGCAAATTTCTAAAGAATACAAACAATGAGAGGCTCTCCGGCCGAAGACGTCCCCCAGCGCAAAACCTGAATTTTTCTATCGCAAATTTCTAGAGACACGCCGGCATAGAGAATAGAAACAATGAGAAGGCCATCCGGCCGAAGACGTCCCCCAGCGCAAAACCTGTTTTTTTGCTACAAGTTTCTTGACGTGACTTTCACAAGGCACCCTTCTAGCAACAGGTCTTTCGCCAAGCAGCCTTGACATTCCGGCATAGCCTTCCGGCCGAAGACGTCCCCCAGCGCAAAACCTGAATTTTTCTCTCGCAAACTTCTAGACACACACCGGCATAGAGAATAGAAACAATGAGAAGGCCCTCCGGCCGAAGACGTCCCCCAGCGCAAAACCTGAATTTTCTCTCGCAAGCTTTTAGACATACCTTTCACAAGGCATCTTCCTAGCAGCAAGTCTTTCGCCATGCAGCCTTGACACTCCAACATAGGGAACAGAAACAATGAGAAGGCCCTCCGGCCGAAGATGTCCCCTGCGCAAAACCTGAATTTTCTCCTGCAAGCTTCAGGCATGACTTCCATAAGGCTCCTTTCTAGCAACAGGAGGTTCTATTTCCAAGGCAGCTTCTTAAATGTTACCATGCAGCAAGGCATCTTTATAGCAAATTGACATCAAGACACATATTGGATGCTGGACCGAAGTACAACATTGAGTGCAGAAGTGTTTGAATGTGGGCTGGCTTTAATTCGGCTGGCTCTGGTTTGTTTCGCTGCAAGTAGTGTTTGGGTGGCCTTTGGGGTGGGCATGTCTACACACAATTGCGTACAGCTGACCCGTGCTACACCCTAAACCCTAAACCCTAAACCCTAAACCCTAAACCCTAAACCCTAAACCCTAAACCCTAAACCCTAAACCCTAAACCCATAAACCCTAAACCCTAAACCCATAAACCCTAAACCCAAAACCCATAAACCCTAAACCCTAAACCCTAAACCCTAAACCCTCAAGACAAAATAAATAGAAATTGTATGTGGTATCAATCTGAATTTTCCAAGATATTTGTCTAAACAGCTGACAAACAGAGTTTAAGTAAATTAATCCAAAGCGGGAGGCCGGGAGGCCAAATGTTCAATTTACTTAAACCTCTGTCTGGGGCCTTCCGGGCCCCGGTCCCAAACCCGCCGCAACAATGCCCCAGAGAGCCCCCCAGCCCCAGCCCCCCAGTCCCAGCCCCAGCCCCAGCCCCAGCCCCAGCCCCAGCCCCAGCCCCAGCCCCAGCCCCAGCCCCAGCCCCAGCCCCAGCCAAGGCCGCAGGAGGCCCAGAAGGCCCCCAAAGGATGCCAAGAAGCCACAAAGCTCCAAGGCCCCAAATCAGGCCCCGGGCCTCCCGAGGCTCGCCCCTGCCACCCAGCCCCCGCCCTTCCAAAAATAAAAATGTGGTTCCAAAAAAAAAAAGTTTCGGTCAAAACGTTTCGGTCAAAACTTTCGCTCAAAACTTTCGCTCAAAACGTTTCGGTCAAAACGTTATTGGGACCCAAACCCTATACAATTTCTATAAACCCTAAACCCTAAACCCTAAACCCTAAACCCTAAACCCTAAACCCTAAACCCTAAACCCTAAACCTAAACCCTAAACCCTAAACCCTAAACCCTAAACCCTAAACCCTAAACCCTAAACCCTAAACCCTAAACCCAAACCCCTAAACCCAAAACCCTAAACCCTAAACCCTAAACCCTAAACCCTAAACCCTAAACCCTAAACCCTAAACCCTAAACCCTAAACCCTAAACCCTAAACCCTAAACCCCCTAAACCCTAAACCCTAAACCCTAAACCCTAAACCCTAAACCCTAAACCCTAAACCCTCAAGACAAAATAAATAGAAATTGTATGTGGTATCATTCTGAATTTTCCGAGATATTTGTCTAAACAGCTGACAAACAGAGTTTAAGTAAATTAATCCAAAGCGGGAGGCCGGAAGGACCAAATCGCCTCCCAAAGCCCAAATTGGCTTCCAAAACGCCAAATTTGCTTTTCATGGCGAAATTGGCTCCCAAAGTTCAAAATTAGCTTCCAAAGCAAAAAACTGGCTCTCAAAGCCAAAAATTAGCTCCCAAACCGCCCAAAATTGGCTCCCAAAATTGGCTCCGAAAGCCCGAAAATTGTGCTTCCCCAAAGCCGCAAATTGGCCCCCAAAGCCCAAATCGCTTCCCGAAGCCCAAAATTGGCTTCCGGAGCCCAGAATTGGCCCCCAAAGCCCAAAGCCCAAAATTGGCCCCCAAAGCCCAAAATTTGCTCCCCAAGCCCAAAATTGGCCCCAAAGCCCAAAATTGCCTTCCACAGCCCAAAATTGCAAACATTTGCCCCCAAAAATGGCCTCCAGAGCCCAAAATTGGCTCCAAAGCCCAAAATTGGCTACAAAGCCCAAAATTGTCTCCAAAGCCCAAATGTTTCTCCCCAAGCCCAAAATTGGCTTCCGCAGCCCAAAATCGGCTCCCAGTGCCCAAAATTGGTTGCCAAGCCCATATTTGGCCCCTAAAGCCCAAAATTGGCCCCAAACCCAAACTTTGTTCCCTAGGCTTCACCTGTCCAAAAAGCTTCACCTCTTTTAGGCCCCCAGGCTTCACCTCCGTTAGCCCAAAGACCCGCCGCAATTTCAATTCCTCGAGCACTTCGTAGGTTTGCATACGCAGCAGGCTTGAAAGCAAGCTTGTGTGAATGACCGCAGGTGTTGGTTCAAAACGTTTGTGGGCGCCAGCGAGATAGCTAGTCACTGTGCAGCTCCGCCAGCCATGCCTCGATGGTGCACTGGCTTTGACATGGATTGCGGCAGCGATGCGCGGCCCTGCATGTTTGCGCTTGATGGCCTAGGGCAGACTGCACAAATCAAGAGTACAAGTGACAAATGCATTTTCTGCAGCCCAGAGGGCATGCGCAAAGCTGTTGCAACACCTCAAGGCTTTGGCAGTGTCGTTCGCGCACTGAAGAAGTGGCGGGGTATGAGCTCGCCAGTTTATGACCTGGCTTTCGAGCACAGCTCGCTGACCACCTTGCCAGCAACCCAGCTGGAAGCTTTGCGTGGCAACAGCGCATTTGCTGTCCGCAAGTCCAACCGGGAGCAACCTGCTCCCTCGACAAAGCGCAGCAAGAAGCGAGCGGTGGCACAATGGAAGAAAATGGCTTGGCGTCGAACAAGCTTGGTAGATTGCACCGCTACACTGCATCATTGAAGAGAACCCATCAAAATCGCATTCAACAATGGGATCGAATCGCGAAGGAGAACCCGAAGTTGTGGTTTTGGGCGAACTTTCGCATGAATGGAGGCTTCTACGGCGACAACTACGCCAACGCCGTGCTCCGTGAATATTCCCGACTGCAGAACGAAGATCCGTTCATCGAGGATGCATTCCTGCGAGGCTTTCACAAGTCTTGCCCCACATGTGGCAAATCCTTCAGAGGTCACGGTCATGGGTATTGCCCGACAGCTACTTGCCGGGAGTTATTGGAAGCCAATCGAAACCGCCGTAAAAGCTTGAAGAAATGGCTCATGAAGCGGGTTGAGGGCGACATCTCAATGGGCCCACCATTCAATGACGAACTTTGTGCATGGGCGAGTCGTGAAGGCTACTTTGAACGTCATGACATGTAGGCTGCGACTTGATGAACGCAGTCCGCGACTACAGCAATGTCTGGAAAGCCATGTACAGATTAAGAGCTGAAGCAAGCAGCTCGCCAACTCAAAGACTTGTCTCGGCTTCGTGCAGACTGAAGCTTCGAGACAGCCGGCTTTGGAAGAAAAGTTTGAAACCGATCGTGCGCACTCAAATCGGCGTAGCACCCTTGATACTCAATAGCATCCATTGAAGCAACGGGAAGCATATGAATCGTTTTGTTCACTTGTCCCCGCGGTTCCGAAAAATCTCACCCACTGAAATGCATAACTGGCCAGCAGGCCAGAAAGTCCGGCCGAAAAAATTGTCTAAACAGCTGACAAGCCGAGTTTACGTAGATTAACTCAAAACTCCTCTGGGATTCAAATGTTCAATTTACTCAAACCTATGGGCCGTTGGGGGGCTCCCCCCTCCACCCCGCTCCGCCCCCCCCCGCCCGCCATCCCTCCAGCTCTTAAACATTAACATGTTCAAAGCCTGTCTCAGCCTCTTGTTAAGCCTTGGGGCCTTCCCCACGATAACTCCAAGATTTCTTTCATCAAGCATTCGCAAACTTGGCAAAAACACTTCATGAATCTCGGGGCAGGGGGTGTCCCCCTGGCGCGGTCCAGCAGGGGCGATTGCTGGCGGGGTCCAGGGCGAGGAGTCCTGGCGGGGGGCTCGGGGGGCAGCGCCCCCCGGAAACGGTGGCGTCAATTTGTATTTTCTTGGGGACCCCCTTCCAAAACTAAAAACATAGTTCCAAAAAACAAAACTTCTCGGCTGTCCTCTTTGGAGGGACGCCCGGTGAAAAAAAACTTATTGGGACCTGAACCCTAAACAATTTCTATGAAGGCAGGTTCCAAAAAAGAACCCAGGTGACCAGAGCAGTGGCCATTTTAAAGGGGTTTTTTTCCGACCCCCGAACCCTATACAATTTCTATAAACCTGGATTGCTGGCGGGGTCCAGGGCGAGGAGTCCTGGCGGGGGGCTCGGGGGGCAGCGCCCCCCGGAAACGGTGGCGTCAATTTGTATTTTCTTGGGGACCCCCTTCCAAAACTAAAAACATAGTTCCAAAAAACAAAACTTCTCGGCTGTCCTCTTTGGAGGGACGCCCGGTGAAAAAAAACTTATTGGGACCTGAACCCTATACAATTTCTATTAAGGCAGGTTCCAAAAAAGAACCCAGGTGACCAGAGCAGTGGCCATTTTAAAGGGGTTTTTTTCCGACCCCCGAACCCTATACAATTTCTATAAACCTGGATTGCTGGCGGGGTCCAGGGCGAGGAGTCCTGGCGGGGGGCTCGGGGGGCAGCGCCCCCCGGAAACGGTGGCGTCAATTTGTATTTTCTTGGGGACCCCCTTCCAAAACTAAAAACATAGTTCCAAAAAACAAAACTTCTCGCTGTCCTCTTTGGAGGGACGCCCGGTGAAAAAAAACTTATTGGGACCTGAACCCTAACAATTTCTATTAAGGCCCTAAACCCACCAAGCCCTAAATTTCCGACCGAACCCTAACCTAAACCCTAACCCTAAACCCTACCCTAAACCCTAAACCCTAAACCCTAAACCCTAAACCCTAAACCCTAAACCCTAAACCCTAAACCCTAAACCCTAAACCCTAAACCCTAAACCCTAAAACCCTAACACCCTAAACCCTAAACCCTAAACCCTAAACCCTAAACCCTAAACCCTAAACCCTAAACCCTAAACCCTAAACCCTAAACCCTAAACCCTAAACCCTAAACCCTCAAGAGCCTATAACTTGAGCTTGCGTTTTGCATCGTGCGTGCCTTCTTCGTGCATCCTTGTCTAATTATCAGAGCAGTCAATATGCCTTCATCATGCATCCTTGTCAAACTATTTCAGCAGACATTATTCAATTTACTTAAACCTCATATTATTCAATTTACTTAAACCTCATATTGTTCAAACAGCACAATTCACTTAAACCACCAAATTATTCAAAATGCTCAATGCACTTGTTCATGCATCCTTGTCAAAATTATCAGCGCATGAGTCCCTGGGGCCTCCACTTGCCTTATACATTTATATATATATATAACTATATACATGTCAATAGATCTCTATATATATCTATATGTATATATATGGTAACAGGGCCTCCTGTGATCCACTAGGCCTTCGTTCAAATTTATCATGTTAGCTCGTTTTGAATTTATTTCTAGCATACCAACCCTTCCAGCCGCTCTATATATTTTAGCTCGTTTTGAATATATTCCTAGCATACCAACCCTTCCAGACGCTCTATATATTCAAGACATCTTAGATGTTTCAGATGTTCCAGACATTCTCAACTTTTCAGACATTCCAGACGTGTCAAACATTCCAGACTTTCCAGACATTCCAGAATTTCCAAACTTTCCAGACATTCCAAACGTTTCCGATATTCCGGACGTTTCCAACATTCCAGACATGCCAAGATTTCCAAACTTTTAAGATATCCTAAACATTTCAAACTTTTCAGATATTTCAGACATTCCACACTTTTCAGACTTTTCAGACTTTTCAGACTTTTCAGACATTTCAGACTTTTCAGACATTTCAGACTTTTCAGACTTTTCAGACTTTTCAGACTTTTCAGACTTTTCAGACTTTTCAGACTTTTCAGACTTTTCAGACATTCCATGCATTCCAAAATTTCTAAACTCTTCAGACATTCCAAGCTTCTCAGACATTCCAAACGTTTTCAAGATTCCATACTTTCCAGGAATCCTAAAAGACTCAAACTTTTCAAACATTCCAGACATTTCAGACTTCTCAGATATTTCAAACATTCCAGACTTTTCAGACTTTTCAGACATTTCAGACTTTTCAGACTTTTCAGACTTTTCAGACTTTTCAGACTTTTCAGACTTTTCAGACTTTTCAGACTTTTCAGACTTTTCAGATATTCCAGAAATTCCAAGCTTTTCAAACATTCCAGTCATCCCAGACTTTTCAGACATTTCAGATATTTCAGACATTTCAGACTTTTCAGATGTTTCAGACATTCCAAACATTTCAGACTTTTCAGATATTTCAGACATTTCCAGACATTTCATTTTTTTGTCAGATATCTGTTTGATTCTGGAATATCTGAAAAGCCTGAAAAGTCTGAAAAGTCTGAAAAGTCTGAAAAGTCTGAAAAGTCTGAAAAGTCTGAAAAGTCTGAAAAGTCTGAAAAGTCTGAAATGTCTGAAAAGTCTGAAAAGTCTGAAAAGTCTGGGCTGCCTGAAAAGTGTGAAGATTTTGAAACGCCTCGGAAGAGTTTAAATAGTCTGTCAGGTCTGCAATATCAGGAACATTAGCATTTCAGTTACTTGTATAAGAAGGCCATGTTACCACATCGTCGTAATGTTTAATAATACTATATATATATTATATTTATATAGAAAAATTAGTATATATCATACTAAATAATGATAATAATAATATATATATATATATTAATTATTCTATATATATATAATTCTTATTATTATTTTTCATTATTATTTAGGATGATTATTATTATGATATATAACATATAGTTATTTTTCATAATTAAGAATACGAAATATGTATATATAAATATATTATTAGAAAAAATTGTTATTATTTAATTATTATTCCACCATTAACTATTATATAGACATTATTGCCATCGCCCACCCCCCCTTCTAATAAAGTAATACTAATATGTATATATAAATATAATTTTATTTATAATTATATTAGCATAAGCTCACAGCTCCCCCACTTTCATGACCCCTTCATTATTATCATTATTATATATTTACATATATAGATTTCATAATAATACTACTAAATCCTGTATATATAAATTATTATGGAATTTATTATTATTATATATACATCTATTTTTATTCATAAGAATAATAACAATACCAATATGTGTATATATATAAAAATAGATTAGTATGTGTATATTATTATTATTATTATCATTATATACATATATTATTATTTATAATAATAATATATATTATATATATAATATAATTTAATAATATATATATATGTATTATATATATATATAATATATATAATATAACATGTAAAAATTAGACACAACGTATTTATATAATATATCGAAAAATACATATCATATAAATATTTTGTATAATACAATATATATATATATATATATATATATTGAAACCCTAAACCCTAAACCCTGAACCCTAAACCCTAAACCCTAAACCCTAAACCCTAAACCCTAAACCCTAAACCCTAAACCCTAAACCCTATATAATTAATTAATAGAATATATATTTTATAATATATAAACAACATAAATATGTAATAAATATGTACAGATATAATATTTTAATTTCTGCTCAGGTTCCGACCTCAGATGCAGTGGCCGGCTCGTCAGTTTCGTTGCCCTAACCCTAAACCCTAAAACAAACACTGACGCATACACACGGGGGGGGTGTGAAGAACGGCGCTCTCACCACGAGTGAAAAAAAAATAAACAGCTGCGAGCTGCTTTGAGGCGGGGCGGTGCCCAAAGCAGAGAGTGTTCCGGCATTGTGCGTCTGGGTCAAACTCATGAAAGCGCACGGCCAGCGATAGTGTCTGAGTCTTCATGAAAGCGCACGGCCCAAGTTTCCAGGGTTTTGATCTGTTGATTACAGCTTTGGTGCTGAGTCCGGCTGTGTCTCGCCATCATGTCGAGCCCTCCTAAGCAGTACATTTCCACGATGAAGAACGTCTACACCTATGTGCAGAAGGAGTGGACTGCTAGTGGAAAGCGGATCTTGGGTGAACGTGGACACGCTGCTATTCATCTGCAGTCTGTTCGTAAAAGCCACCCAGCTCTGCCAATCTTTCTCTACGCGCTGGTTGGTGTCGTAGTAGCCTCGAACGGAGCTTTGCTTCGAATTTGGGGCGGGCTCTCACCGGTCGCCTTGTGGATTCTCAACTGTAATTACAGTCAGACGCGCAAGAGCGGTCTCACATCCATTGCGGAGGTGTTCGCATCTGTAGCAG